GAGTGGCAGTGGAAAGTAGGGACGTCAGGCCATGCATTTGTAAGTCTCAGCTGCAATCCCTGCAAGTGATGACAGGGCAGTGAGACCTGGGGCAGTCTCACAGTCTGGAGGGAGCATCTGGAAGTCTACAAAGTGATGCTAAAGCAAGTGGCCACATCCTAGTTACTCTATACCCCTTGCTTTATTTTCCTTTGCAGCACTGATCATTACCAGTAATTACAGTTCCATATGTTTGTTAGTTTATTTTCTGTCCCCTCTCTGTCTCCATTGAAGCAGGGACAGTCTTACTCATAACTCAGTCTTCAGTAGAATAAGTAGAATCCTACTAGGATTCACCTAGAAAAATGTCTGGAATATAGTCTAGGCATTTAGTAAATCTTTATTAAATCAACAAATAAAAGAACTGTGATGATGAATGACACAGAGAAGAGATAAGAAGAAAGATTGTGAGGGGAGAAAAATTAGATAGGAAGGTTATGGAGGTAGGTTAAAATGAAAGTTTCCCCCCCAAATGACTGTTGTGTCCTTAAACTAGACTCCTGCAATATTTTCCCTATTTAAAAGCAACAAAGTCTCCATTAGCAAAAATGTAGTTGTGAAGGTTAAATGAACACAGTCCACAATGATTTTACACAATTATTGTATCCACAGAACTGGAAAAAAAATCTTCAAAGTCCTTAGGTGACCTCAGCTATTGTATCACCAAATTCCAGTTAAGGCAAACAATTCCACAGCATGCCACTGCCTGCTAGGTGGAATTCTCTTCTTCCTTCCCTCTTTGAGAAGTTCTAAAAATGTGTGATTAGCAATCATACTTCAAAGCAGAGAGCCAGAGGAGGGTTTGACAAGAGTAACTTGAAAGGTATTTGAAATCTCTATGCCACTAACTAGTTAGTATTTTACTAAATTAAACTCTTTTATGTTCTTATTATCTGCATTTATCCACAAATTTCTTTTTTTTTTTTTAATCCACAAATTTCAAGCATCATTTTAGTTCCTTTCTTGCTGTGTATCGACTTGTTCAGCTTCCTGTGAGTCAGTTTACAAAGGGAGGGAGAACCAACATTTCTGAACTCCTATTGTGCCAGGTATGGCACTGAAAACTTCATATGGATCATCCCATCTAATCTTCACAATACTCTGGGCGGGGTGGGGGGGCGGGGGGGGATATGGTATTGAATCCATGTAAGAGATAAGAAAATTGAGGCTCAAAAGTTAACTATCTTGCCTAAAATAACACAAATAATGACTGGCAGAGGCAAGATGCAAACCAATTCTGCCGAAATAACACCACAGTTCTTATTGGTGGTGGTTGTGGTCAGATGCTTCAGTTGTGCCCAAATCTTTGCAGCTCCATGGACTGTAGGCCACCAGGCTCCTCTGTCCATGGGATTTTCCCAGCAAGAATATTGGAGTGGGTTGCCATTTCCTTCTCCAGGGGATCGTCCCAACCAAGGGATTGAAATTGCGTCTCCTGCATCTCCTGCATTGCAGGTGGGTTCTTTACTGCTGAGCCACCAGGAAAGCCCCCAGTTCTTCTCGGTTTGTGGCTACTTATGGGCCCTGTGCTGCCCACCAGCCTTGCTTTGTTAAATGGTTTCTTTCTGAGTAAATAGTTAAATTTAACAGAGTATTATTGTAGGTGTACCATTGTCCACTCTTTTGATAATAGTTTTTCCTCACCTTTTATCATATACATGTATATGTATATGTCCTTTTCCTCCAAATAATTCAGTGATCTTTGCACTTTTAAAATGCCTGAAAACTCCAGACAGAATATGATCAAATTATGAGACATTGTGTAATCTAAAATGGCACTTCTGTCCAGTCTGATTCTTCCCCAGGTATGGGGCCTGTGGGAGGCAGTGGTACTGTGTAATGTTCGGGTAGCAAGGAGCCAAGTAAAGAACTATGGATGGCTATCTTAGGTCAACCTGAGCGTGGGAGAGGGGGCGCTCTGAAGGACACCACTTTCTCCCTACCTGCCCCCCACACTGTCGTGTTGCTCTGGTATCCCTGAGCAAACCCTAGAAGAAGCTTCCCTGGGCTCGAGGACTGATCACTGACAGAGGCTTCCTGACTGTGCTCGTCCACTCTGATACTCTCCTGCCTCTTCTGCGCTGTGCGGTGCCCCCAGCTCCACACCCTTTGTCAGGATGGCAGGTTTACTGAAATATTTCTTACCTCCCCAAACCAGCGCATCCTTTTTGTGCTCCCTATAATCTGTGCTAGAAGGCTTCAAGTCATCCTTGACTTTCCTAATGCTCAAATACTCAATTAGTCACTAGCTTCTGTCATTTGTATTTCGTCTTTTACTTTTGTTTTGTATTGCTATATAGCCAATTAACAATGTTATGGTAGTTCCAGGTGAACAGCAAAGGGACTCAGCCATGCATGTACATGTATCCATTCTCCCCCAGACTCTCCTCCCATCCAGGCTGCGACATAACAGTGAGCAGAGTTCCATGTGCTGTCAGTAGGTCCTGGTTGGTTATCCATTTTAAGTAGAGCGGTGTGTACATGTTCATCTCAAATTCCCTAACTATCCCTTCTTTTCATCCTGCTCCCTGGCAACCATGTGGACATTTGAAATTTAAAGCTTGTACTGAGTCTGTCCCATCCATCCATCCAACCATCCATCCATTCAACCATCCATCCATTCTTCTGTGTGTCTGTTGTGTTCTAGATGTTGTATAAGATGCTGTGAATTCAGAGATGATTGAGACGTGGACCTAGTTTTCACTTTTACATTATAGCTCAAAACACAAGCCAAAATCTCATTACTTAAAACTTAAGTTTCTACACTTGAATATGGTGGCATTCGGGGTTCTCTACTACCAGGACTCAGGGCCTCTCCAGCGTCCCGTCCCACACCTGTCTCTCCTCATGCGGTATTCCCGTCTGATTGTTCTGCAACCCTCCATGCCTCTCCCCTTTGTCTGTGCCCAGACTGATTCCCCAAGACTTTACCTACTGAAAACCCTACTTACCCGCTAAAGCTCAGCTCAAAGGCCTGCACCTCTTTGAAGTTCTCTCCATCATCTGCCCAGAGTTAGTAATTTTTCTTCTTGTTCTCACAGTGCTTGTGCCCCAAGAATAGGATTTACTTCAATTAGCCTGGGATAAACCATCATTAACATTGTTGCTCCCCTACTAGATTAGAGACACCTCTAAGGCAATAACTTGATTCATTCCACTTACATGGCTCAGTAAATCTCTTGTTGGCTATAAGACTGTTCAGCAAAGAAAAAATTATGATTATATGATATTCATATTGAATTATCTGATATAATTCAACTTAATTCTTAATTCTATTGCCTTTTCCTCACCTCACTTTCCTTTTGGCCCCTAGGTCCTCCATTTTTGGTGTATAAATTCGTCCTCATCAAGTGATTCTATTGAGAGAAATATTTGTCTGACTGCCACCGATGCTTTGAAGGAGGTACCTCACATCCTGTGAAAACCAGATTCAGCCTGGATTCAAATCCTGACCCACCATGTGACGTTGAGACTATTAAGTTATCATTTCCATACCTCAGCTATGAAAGGGTAATTAATAAGGCTCACCTTATAGGATGGTTGCAGGAATTAACTGAAATATATATGAAGCATGTAGAATAGTGTGTGGAACATAGAAAGTACCCAATAAAGGTTAGACCTAATACCATTTCCAAAAAAATTGCTGTGACGACATTTAGATCTATAAGAACACAAGGCAGAATAATAACATTTAGTAAGTTCCTTTGAGTGTATCAAAACATTTCTTGGGTTGTATGATTCAATTAGTGAATCATTTGTGAATTAACTTTCTCAGTATGTTGTACTTCAAACTAAATATTGCTCAAGAATGATGGCATAAAGTTTGAAGCATTTGGCATTAACTTTAAGGCTTGTTAAAATAAAAATTACATATTTTCTACTGACACCCTGCAGCTCCTCCTCCTCACTTAGCTTTCTCATACCTCTGTATGCTTTGGTCATTTATCCTGCTGAGAAAATCTTTACTTTCTTTGATGAAATCTATGTTCCTCATCATTGGAACAGCCTGTTCAAACATTCTGTTGCTCCCAGAATTCTTTTCTGACTGATCCTACCTGAGTCTTAAGGCCCAAGAGGTAGAAGTGCTAAGGAGCTTCCACCAGTTGTCACATTATTTAGCATTTGTTCATCATAATATTTATAAATATTTTAAATCAGTCTCAGGTATGTTCTCCCTACAAAGATATCCAGTTCTCCAAAGTCTCTGTCATTTTGCCCCCAAGATTTTTCACCCCACTCTTTGCAGTGAGAAACTCCTGATGAAATTCCAGTTGAGAAGATGCTGAAAAAACAAAAATTGTTTTTTCATTTTTTGTTTTGAGTCTAAACTCCTTTAATTACTGCCTTTGTTTATAGTTATTTCAGGGTTGGTCCACAGGACTTTGGATGGTGAGCCATAAAATTTCTTTTCTTCTTACAAGACTCCTGGGAAGGCTCAGAGTTGGCCGGAAGCGTGAAGAAGACTCAACACAGTCACGTGCCCACTGGGGAAATGTGGGCCGTCTGTTGGTCTCCGAAGTGTTTGCACCGTTCCAAGGAAACCACCTGAGGCTGGCCTCTTCCCCTTCCCTTCCTGGGGGAAGGTCTGGTCATAAAACACAGAAATGGCTCCAAGGAAGGTCTGAGATTGTAGTAATGCTCATCACAGAAGAGCCCTCTTCCAGGCCTGGTCCTAGATAAAGTGACCATTTTTTATCAATGAACTGAAGAGGACTCCTCTTGACTGGGGTTTTATATTTCTCCTGCAACTCAGTTTCATCTCATCTTTGCCCTGTTGCTCTGTGGGTACCAACAGCCTTGGCCAGCTTTGAGGAAGTGCATAGTACTATTATTTGCTCTGACTATTCCACAAGAAGATTCCAAATAAAGATGGAGCAAAAACTTTGGCAGTTATTCTTGCCTGGGACAGATGAATGGCTATAGTGCCCTAGTCCCTTGATTGCACCTGTATCCCGAGCTCTATGAACACAGATGTTCGGAATATATGTTCAGGGAGAGAGCTGAAGGCAAGTACCGTGGTGGTGGAGTTCCTCTGTTGGCCAACTTCTGTCTCCTCCACATCAGCATGTCCGGTCTGTCTATACTCTTATTACATGGCTTTGGTTCAGGATGTTCATGCTGTGCCTGCTGTCAACCACGTTCACTGCCAGACTTTTCTTGTGAAAGAGCCTGTATGCCTAACGCAGTGCAGGTAGGTCCCACTGTCCAGATTCCTGTCCTTGTAAAGGGAAATGTCAGCACTGATGATGACAGACGCCTGTTTAACTTCGGGTTATACAGCTGTATAACAACAATAAGGGCATGCATGTTGGTGGTCACCAGAACCTTCTCTTTCCCATCTCAGGCACTCTGTTATGGCAGCCCTCTGCTCCACCATCATTTCAGCACATTTCATGGGGTTGCCTTCTTTTGAGAGCCCTGCTGTCCGCCAGCCACGTGTTTTAGAGGAATGGCAGCAGATGGTAGCTGAAGCAATGGTGATGGCCGGTAGAGGCTACCCAAGGCCTGCAACTCCCCATTTCCATCACTGCGCAGGATGTAACACTGCTGCGTGGCGTCCACTGTCTGCTCCCGCCTCCGCTGGATGTTTGATTCTGCGACCACTGTCTGGGCAAATTTCCAGAGAGTCTTCAAAGGTATTCGGGGCAAGCAGCATCCAGCAGCTGCTGGCAGCATCCTATGGGTGCAGATGCTCCGATCTTGATGGTGGTGGGTAGTTATCATCATGACAGCTTCATCCAGACCAAACCTTGATCTTCTTGGAGCCAATGAACTTGAGCTTGGAGTACCAGTCCAGAATTATCCCAGGGGTACCAAAGACAAGGTGCTCCCTATCTCTGACCTTGGTGCCCAATTTATTGCCTTGAACAGCATAAGCTATCTTGAGTTCAGGGTAAAATTTTTCCATCTGCTCTATCACTTTTCCCATTTGAAAGACCAGCTTAGAAGTCTGGGAGAGGCACAGACAGTGGGGTATCCAACTGCACGACTAACACAAAGGCAGCTGTTTCAGCAGTGCCAGACTGAGACAGGGCAACTAAGTTCTGCACGGCCTCAGCAAATATCGAAGGCAGCCTGTTCGCTTGTATTTTGGATGGATGGATGAAGCCCATGGTGTAGACTCCTCACAAGACTTTACTGAGTGTAGGGAGGAGTTCGGATCTTATTGGAGGTTTTCCACCTGGTTTGTGTTATCAATAGAGTTGCTTCTGATCAGCCTGTTGAGTAAAGAGGACAACTCTGTCCTCTTTCTCTTCTTCATCTGTCTTCTCTGCACTGGTGTTGCTCTTGTTTCCTGCTTGTCCACTGCCAGGACCCACAAGGAGGTAGCATGGCCCAGGCTGTGAGTGGGATGCTGGCGCTGGTGAACGCACCAGCTGACACCGCCTGATTGCCATATGGGGACAACCAAAATTGTTTTCCAACAGAAATGGGAGAATATTATCACACAACACATGAGAACGGGTGCTGAGGAGGTTTCTCACCAAACATGGTTTGGTTTATATATGACAGAGAAGTAGAGAATGTGAACTGAACTGAGGATGGGAAATGAAAACCAACTAAACTCCTGAGAGCCAGTAGTCCATTGTATTCATAATTTGCTCACTCATTCATTCAGAATGGTTTAAGAGCATATAACCCTAGGTTCTATGGCAATTCAAAGTGAGTTAAGGCATTGTATACCCTAATAAGAAACTTACAATCGAGTGATGTTGGGTCAGGGAAGAACAACCAAGGATCCACCAGGCAGAAAGAAATAAACACTGTAAGAAAGATGCAACTTGACATACTTTTACAACAGCTGAGACTGATAAACCTGCTCCCAACACCAAACCTGCTGCCTGCATTTGCATCCGTATTCTTTGATTTACATCCATGTTACGATGGATGAATTATCCACATTCCTATTTAAGCCAAGCCCCTTCATGTAGTAAATCACATCTTTTCTTGCCTACCCAAGGGCAAGACTCTAGCAATTTTCACTGTGTACTGCATCTTTAGTTTTTTAAACAGCTTTATTGAGATATTCACATACTATGTAATTTATCCATTTAAAGTATATAATTCAATTTCTTTGGCATATTACATTATAAATTTTTTAAACTGTGGTGATATATATATACATATATATATAAAACAAAATTTGTCATTTTAACCTTTCAACTCAATGGCAGTAACTATATTTACAATGTTATGCAACCATCCTCACTCTCTATTTCCATGAATTTTCATCACTTTAGATAGAAACTCTATAATTTTGAGGCAATAACTCCTCATTTTTCTCCACTGTCAGCCCCTGGAAACCTCTAATCTATTTTCTGTTTCTATGAATTTGACATCTATTCTAGCTGTTTCATAAAAAAGGAATTGCACAATGTCTGTCCTTTTGTGTCTTCCTAAAAGTGCAAAGTTTTCCACATTCATCCAAGTTGTAGCATGTATCAGAACTTCTGTTTTGTGACTGAACAATGTTTTATTATATATATAAACCACATTTTCTATATCTACTCATCTGTTGATGAACATTTGGGTTGTTTCTACTTTTTGGCTATTGTGAATGTTTGACTTCCTGCTTTTAATTATGTTGGGTAAATGCTTAGGAGCTGGACAGAATATGATAATTCCATGTATAGCTTTTTGAGGAACCACCAAACTGTTTTCCATAGTAGGTGTACCATTTTACATTTCCATAAGAAATGTGTGAGGGTTCCAATTTTTCTCCATCTTTACTAACACTTTTTTTGTTTTATTGATTGTAACCATTTTAATAGGTATAAAGTGATTCTGCTTACATTTCCCTAATAATCAGTGATGTTTAGAATCTTTTCACGTACTTATTTTTGTATTTGTATTTTTGGAGAAATGTCTACTCAAGTCCAATATTTTTCAGACTGAATAATCTTTTTATTGTTGAGTTATATTAATTTTTATATGTTTGAGATATTAAGCTTATTTCAGATATATGATTTTAAATATTTTCTATCAACCTTCAGCTTATTTTTTTTTCACTTTCTTGATAATACTATGATGCAGAAATTTTTTTAATTTTGAAAAAAATTAAATTTCTTTTTTTCTTTTGTTGTTTCTGCTTTTAGTATCATATCTAAGAATCCATTGCCAAATCCTAGGTCATGAAGATTTACTCCTGTTTTTGTCTAAGAATTTAATGATTTTTATGTCACTGATCAATTGTAAATTAATTTTTGTATATGGTGTGAAGTAGGAGGTTCAACTTTATTCTTTTGCATAGGGGAAGTCCAATGTCCCGCAAAACCTGTGAAGAGACTATTCATTGCCATTGAATGTATTTGGCACTCTTGTCAAAAGTCACCTGACCATAGAGGTATGGTTTTATTTCTGAACTCTCAATTCTTTTCTATTATGTCTAAACTTATGCCATAATCATGCTGCTGTAATTACTGTAGCTTTGTAACAAATTTTGAAACTGGAAAGTGTGAGTACTCCTACTTTGCTTTTTTTCAAGATTTTTTTGACTATTTGAGATTTTTTCCACATGAATTAAAGGAATGACTTTTCATTTCTGGAAATTAAGCTATAGGAATTTTGACAGGAATTGCACTGAATCTGTGGATCACTTTCTCTAGTATTGACATTTTAACAATATTAAATTTTATACCATTAACATAGTGTTTCTGTTTATTTAGATCCTACTTTATTTCTTTCAGCAATATTTTCTGGTTTTCAGTGTATAACTCTTATCTCCTTGGTTAATTTTTTCCCAAATATTTTACTCTTTTAGATGTAATTGTAGTTGCTTTCTTAATTACTTTACAGATTCTTTATTGCTGGTATATATAAACACAACTGATTTTTTGTGCATTGATCTTATACCCTGAAACTTCGCTACATTCCTTTATTAGTTCTACTAGTTTTCTAGTGGATTTTAGAATTTTCTCTATATAGGATTGTGTTATATGTGAATAGAGATAATTTTGCTTCTTTCCTTCCAGTCTGGATGTCTTTTACTTATTTATTCTTTCCTCTGGCTACAACTTCCATTACAACATTGGTGAAAGAAGGCATCCTGATTTTGTTCATGACCTTAGAGGAGGAAAGCTTCCAGTCCTTCACAACTATTTTTTTTTTTAACCTATGGGTCTTCCGTAAATGTGCTTTATCATATGAAGGAAGTTCTAGTGTATTCCTAATTCACTCCCATTCACCTCTTATCATGAAAGGGGGTTGGATTTTGTAAAATGCCATTCTGTGTCCGTTGAGGTGATCATGTAGGGGTTTTTTTCATTTCATTCTATTAATATGATATATTACATTGATTAATTTTCTTTTGTGGAACCACCATTGAATTCATGGAATAAATTTCATTTGGTCATGGTATACAATTCTTGTAATAGGCTGTTGGATTCAATTTCCTAGTATTCTCTTGAGGATCTCTGCATCTGTACTCATCACGGATATTGATGTGTAATCTTCTCTTTTTCTGATGTTTTTATCTGTGTTCCACACTAGATAAAGACTAAGGTTGTTCTGTCTTCATAGTGCAAGTTAGGATGTGTTCTCTGCTCTTCTACTCTTTGCAAGAATTTGAAAAAGATTGGTGGTAATTCTTTTTTAAATGCCAGGTAGAATTCACCAATAAAGCTGTCTGGTCCTAGATTTTTCTTTGCTGGGAAGGTTTTTGATTCCTGATTCAATATCTTTACTTGTGATAAGTGTTGAGATTTTCTATTTCTTCTTGAATCAGTTTAGGTAGATAATTTGTGTGTTTCTAGGAAGTGGTCCATTTTATCTAGGTCATTTAATTTGTTGGTTCACAGTTGTTCACAGTAAAGGATAATGATCATTTTTATTTATGATGACTAATAGTAGTGTCCCCATTTCCATTTCTGATTTGGGATACATACTTCTCTTCTTTCTCAGGGTGCTATTAATTTTTACCCCTCCTTCTCCCCTGTATCCCCTTCCTTCCCTCCTCAATCCTTCCCACCCCCTCTTGCTCACCTTGTTCTCCCTGTCTTCCTCTATTTGCTTTCCTTCCTTCCTTCCTTCCTTCCTTTCCTCTTTTCTTCCTCCTCCTCCTTTATTATTTCTGTCAGAGGCAAACACACTGTAGAGTAACCCACCTTAAAAACATAACCCTCTCTCGACAACTTTGCCCCAAGTCCAGATCTGCCTCAAGTCTCTGCTTTGCTCTACAACAGAAATCCTTGGAAGAGTGATCTATACCAGCTGTCTCCAGTTTCTTTCCGCCCGTTCTCTCTTAAAGCCATTTCAATTAGGTCGTCAGTGAAGCATCTCTTGCCTAAGTACCTAACAACCTCCGCGCTTAGTCATCATTTGACTGGTCCACACTCAGTGCTCTGAACTCTCCCGCTACTCCTCTCCTTCTCACTGATCTTCTCTGACCTCATCACTTTAAACACCATCGATACACAGAGGACTCCCAGATGCCATATTTCTAATTCTGACAACCTCTGTTTTAAACTCCAGCATAGTAAATCCAACTCTCTCTGCAACATCTCTATTTGTATGTTTAACGTCTCAGACTTAATAAGCCCCAGCCTTTTTCTTCACATCTCCTCTTCCTGCTGTCTTCCTCATGTCAGTAAATGCCAACCTCAGGTTTACAGTCATTCATGCCAAAAAAAACCTTCAAGCTGTTCTTGACTCTTTTTTTTTTTCTCTCTCAGAGTCTGCATCTAATCCATTAGCAAAATCTGCTTGCCTTTTTAAATATACAGAATATGACCTTTCTCCCCATCTGGACTGCTCTCATCTTGATCCCAGTTATCATCATCTCAGCTTTTTGTAATAGCCTCTTTATGAGATAATTGATTAGGCTGGATTGGGACCCTTGTTGCATCATGCGGCATCTCTCATTGTGGCATTCTGGCTCTCTACTTGTGGTGCCCAGGCTCAGGAGTTGCATCACACAGGCTTGGTTGCTCTGTGGCCTGTGGGAGGCTATTCCTAAACCAAGGACTGAACCCTCCTCCCCTGCATTGCAGACTGGATTCTTAACCACCAGACCACCAGGAAGTCCCTGTAAATAGCCTCTTACCTGACATCTCTGCTTTAGCTTTTGTGTTCTCTTCATGGAACCAGAGTGTTCTTTTTTAACACTAAGTTGATTTATTCCTTTGTTCAAAATCCTCCAGTTTGTCCTATCTCCCTGAGTAAATGCCAAAGTCCTACAAAACTTTATACAATCTGTCCTCTGTTAAATCTCTGAGTTTATTTCCTGCTACTCCCTGCCTAGCCCGCCAGCTGCAGCCGCACGACTGTTCCTATGGTTCCTAGTGTTTTGGTGCTTGCCATTCCTCTGCTGGAGAGCTCTCATTTCTAACAACCTTGGCTCAGTCCTTCTATTCAGGAATGTGCAACACCCGCCCTACTACACCACCCCACCCCTTCCTGAACTCTCTATGTGTCTTGCTTGCACTTTTTCTCTATAGCATTTTCACCATCTGTCACGCTATTGTTGTTCAGTTGTTCAGTCGTGTCTGACTCTTCGTGACCCCATGGACAGCAGCACGCCAGGTTTCCCTGACCTTCACCATCTCCTGGAGCTTGCAGAAACTCATGTCCACTGAGTCAGTGATGTCATCCAACCATCTCATTCTCTGTCATCCCCTTCTCCTCCCACCTTCAAATGTTCCCAGCATCAGGGTCTTTTCTAATGAATTGGCTCTTTGGATCAGGAGGCCAAAGTTTTGGAGCTACAGCTTTAGCATCAGACCTTCCAATGAATATTCAGAGTTGATTTCCTTCAGGACTGACTGGTTTGATGTCCTTGAAGTCCAAGGGACTCTCAAGGGTCTTCTCCAACACCACAGTTCAAAAGCATCAATTCTTTGGAGTTCAGTCTTCTTTATGATCCAACTCTCACATCCGTAGATGACTACTGGAAAAACCATAGCTTTGACTAGATGGATCTTTTTTGGCAATGTAATGTCTCTGCTTTTTAATATGCTGTCTAGATTTGTCATAACTTTTCTTCTAAGGAGAAACATCTTTTAATTTTATGGCTGCAGTCACCATCTGCAGTAATTTTGGAGCCCCAGTAAAGAAAGTCTGTCACTGTTTCCATTGTATCCCCATCTATTTGCCACGAAGTGATGGGACTGGATGCCATGATCTTGGGTTTTTTGAATGTTGAGCTGTAAGCCAACTTTTTCACTCTCTTCTTTCATTTTCATCAAGAGGCATTTTAGTTCTTCACTTTCTGCCATAAGGGTGTTCTCATCTGCATATCTGAGGTTATTGATATTTTTCTTGGCAATATTGATTCCAGCTTGTGCTTCCTCCAGTCCAGCATTTCTCATGATGTACTCTGCATATAAGTTAATTAAGCAGGGTGACAACATACAGCCTTGACGTACTCCTTTTCCTATTTGGAACCAGTCTGTTGTTCCATGTCCAGTTCTAACTGTTGCTTCCTGACCTGCATACAGTTTTCTCAAGAGGCAGGTCAGGTGGTCTGGTATTCCCATCTCTTCAGAATTTTCCACAGTTTGTTGTGATCCACACAGTCAAAGGCTTTGCCATAGTCAATAAAGCAGAAATAGATTTTTTTCTGGAACTCTCTTGCTTTTTCGATGATTTAGCAGATGTTGGCAATTTGACCTCTGGTTCCTCTGCCTTTTCTAAAACCAGCTTGAGCATCTGGAAGTTCACGGTTCACATATTGCTGAAGCCTGGCTTGGAGAATTTTGAGCATTACTTTATAGTGTGTGAGATAAGTGCAATTGTGAGGTAGTTTGAGCTTTCTTTGGCATTGCCTTTCTTTAGGATTGGAATGAAAACTGACCTTTTCCAGTCTTGTGACTACTGCTGCATTTTCCAAATTTGGTGACATATTGAATGTAGCTCTTTCACAGCATCATGTTTCAGGATTTGAAATAGCTCAACTGGAATTCCATCACCTCCACTAGCTTTGATTGTAGTGATGCTTCCTAAGGCCCACTTGACTTCACATTCCAGGATGTCTGGCTCTAGGTGAATGATCACACCATTGTGATTATCTGGGTCATAAAGATCTTTTTTGTACAGTTCTTCTGTGTATTCTTGCCACCTCTTCTTAATATTGTCTGCTTCTATTAGGTCTCTACCATTTCTGACTTTATTGAGCCCAGCTTTGCATGAAATGTTCCCTTTGTATCTCTAATTTTCTTGAAGAGATCTCTAGTCTTTCCCATTCTATTGTTTTCCTCTATTTCTTTGCATTGATCACTGAGGAAGGCTTTCTTATCTCTCCTTGCTATTCTTTGGCACTCTGGGTATATCTTTCCTTTTCTCCTT